TGCAAACTTCCCATAGAAAAAGTTTCGGCTGTCCACTTTTGTCCAGGGGCCCAGGGATTCCTCCTCTTCTTTGTGGCTCTCTGGCGTTTGGTTTATGGTTTATGCGCCGCCGTTTTTGGTCTATTAAAATGATTGCAGTATTTACGTAGCGCTTTTCAGCCATAATTTGTATTTGCTATGCTCATCATCATCATCATTGGGCGAAGGCACATCCTCCTTCTCTGGCGTTTCTTGGGTTTTCCTCTGCGCAGCCCCCGGCATTTGACCCTTCCCCTAGGTCTAAGCTCTTCTATTGTTTATCTGCAACGAGCCGGGCCCAAAAACCAGTCTGCGTTTCAGTTTCCTTTCCCAGTTTCTTTGGTGCGTTTATATTTCTGGTCTGGCCTTATCGCCCCTGGCGTCACATTGGCGTATTTACCATGATTATTGATCGCTTAATACGAATTTGCTGCTCTTCGTGTTTATTTGTGCAGCTTAGAGATACTAGACCTCTTTTTTCTTGCATAAATATTTGTCACATCGTGATCAATTACAGCTGCTTGTGCGACTGAGCCGCAAATATACATACATAGAGTCGTTGACTCAGCGTGAAAGTTGGCTGGGAATCAAAATACAAATTGTATGCCAGGCCGGGCTTAAAACTTTCAGTTTCAGAGGATGAGTGATTGTGCGACTGACTGGCTTCATTCAAGTGCCAGTTATTCGATCATTGCAGACATTAATGCATATTCTCAGGGCGAAAAAATGAAGCGCAGAAGAAGCTGGTGCTTTTCAAAGTCAATCGACACGCCCACCGAGGACATTGAACTGGGAGCTGGGTAACAAAGTGTGCACTTAAAAAAATTATGGATTCACTGGCTATGGTACAAATTTTCACAATAAAAGGCTTAGCTGTATAAAAAGTGTTGGCATTAAAAAATTATTCCTATATTTCCAATACCTTTTCAAGACACTTTAAGATCTCTGTTTTATGCCATATGAACAACTTTATCATATACTTTTTTTAAACTGATCCATTAATTTTAAGCAAGGAAAAATTAGTGACTTATTAGAATTTTTACTTAACATTTTTTTCTGTGTAACCTTAAATAACCAGTTTAGTGTGGCATATTTTTTGTACGAACTTCCGCTTAGCAAGAACGCAACCAATTTTGACAGATTACAAGGCAGCGAAATGGCCTGAAGGCATTTTTTTGGCTTTTTGGTAAGCCACCAGACGGGAGGTAAAGTAAAGAACCTTAATCAATGGCCTCAGTGCAGGCGATACCATTGAACCATGGGGAATTGGCCCCAAAAATGCAAACTGGCTTACTTAAATGGCCAAGAGCAGTAAGGCCGCCCTGCTGCTTTCAATTACGTGTGCTGGCTACCAAAAAAATAATTCAAGCAGAGCCAAACAAATTTATGGCCAGAACCAAACAGAACGGAGCCGTTCAAGATCTGCATTTAAAAACACAAAGTCCGCAGACGCTTGCCAACGATTAAGCACCGCAAATCAAAAGCCAGGCAAAAGTGCAAAAGGAAACCACGACAAAAACCCCAGAGAAATCCAACGCAAACCCGCAAATGACAAATGTTTGCACTGAGACTTGTGCTTGAAATGCAACAAGAAAAGCCCAAAAAAAAAGTGGAAAACCAGGCGAAAACAACCATAAAGTGTTGAGTGCTGGCGGAAATCACTTGAAACCGAAAATAAATCAAAGGAAACAATAATGGAGCACCAGCAGAAACAAAGAAGCAATGCCAAAATCAAAAAGGAAAAGCGGAAAATAGCGCTGCCAGCATCCGCCGCCAACATACAAAAACCGATAAAGGCAGCGAGAATCTGCAGAAATAATAAAATAAAAGGGAAAATCACCAGCTGAAACAGTAGTAAAAACCCGAGCAGTAATAAACGAGCGCCGAGAATCAAATGCATGACACTAGCCCTCAAACTCAAACCCAACTTTCAAAATCTGAGGACCCGGTGTCCTTGTGAGTCGGGGACTCGTGTGATTTATGTTCCATTGTCCAGTAATGTCAACCTGGCCAGCGAGTCTGCGGCAAGTCTGGGCAGCCTTAATTGCTGTGGTGGTCAGCCACGCCCCCCAGACGCTCCCGCCCTCGCTGCCCTATCCAGCAATTACAGAGGCGACGACTATTACTCACCTCTTTATATGGGGCTTCTCGACTCGACGAAGATTGGATGCAATAAAACAAAAGGTGAGATAAGGTGTGGTACCTGGAATCGAATGCAATTCTGTATGAATCGTTCTGCGAAAGTCATTAAATACGGAGAATTTATGATGATCATTTTGATTGCTTAATTAAATAAAAAAGGAATGAAGATTATATGTAAACAAAATTATTAATCAATGATATCTTTCTGATTGAATCCAAGTTTTAACTGTCAGAATCGATGTTGATAAAAATAAACGTAACTACGGAAATAATAAGAGAGCTTTTCGACTTTCTGAAATATACTTAGATTGTATTAAAATTAAAAGTACTCGATTCTAACATTAAATTGAGTTCCAAAAAGTAGTCATGTATAATTTATAAATTCTAAATAAATTCTTAAATTAAACAAAAACCACTACCAAATCATATCAAGGTTTTCTGCCTCCGATTACAGGTCATAATTGAGAGCACTCCTCGGGCTTAATCTTCGGGGTGTGCAGAAACGCTCGATTGCCATTTAAAGGATTATAATTTTTGCATTGCCGAAACTAAAAACTTCAGACGCAAACTTTGCAGACAGTTTTTGTGCCATTTAAACTCCCTTTAGGTTCAGTTCAGAGTGTTTTCAGAAAAAGGTGGGCAGGAAAAGAGGGATCCGTTTAGTTTTTATTTCGCCGTGCGGCATTTGAATTCAAATGTGCTCTTAAATCGGCTTAGTTTTGCGAGCAGCTTTTATGTTCCAGGCGGCTTAAATTAATGCGCCAGCAGGGACTTCGTTCAAACAAAACAAAAAGCATTGGCGCACACCAAAATGAAATATGAAAGAAGAAAGGGCTGAAAATATCGCGGGTTTGAGAATACACGGAAAAGGTGATTAAATAGTTGTCCGGATTTGCTGCATTTATATGGCCCGTGAGTGATTTTAATTGATTTCAAGTTGACCAGCTACTGCTGTTTACCTTCTCCCCTTCTCCTGTTCAAACCATAAAACACTGGACAGCCAGTGAGTTTGGCTCTATCTAATCAACGCCACTTTCACGCCCACTTTCAGTTAAAATCACTGCTAAGTGTTGTGAAAATGAGATTGTAAACATTTTTAATTTGCCTTGTTAGCACTGAGATTGTTGTTAAAGCGATTGGTGGAATACCCTCCATATCAGCTTATATGGTTTATGCGTGTCGTTATAGTTTACTAGGTTATCTGCAACCCAGAAAACAAATTCTAATAAATTCGAACTATACAACAAATATTTATTACTTAATCTTAAACTATTTATGTTGTTTTCAGTATGAAATGAATGGTTCAAGAGGTCATGATTTGGGATAGAAAAAGGGGTATAAGCTAACTTTAGAAAAAGCTTTGTTTAATAATAAATACAAATAAAATGTGGGCCCTAATTATGTTACTAAATGTAAATGATAATACTGAAAATTATCATTTATAAACAGTATAAGTGTATTTGAGTTCCTTGATTGAACAGCAAATGTTATGAATTAAATTTTCGCCAGATAGATGGGCGGGTAAACACTTAATATAGACATCCAATTACCACCTAAAGAGTCCAATCTGCCATGATTTTCCGACTATCTACGGTGCTATGGGCCTGGTGCACGTGCCACGTGCCTCGTGATTCTGAAATCATCCTACTGCATTAACAGCCAAATGGATGGAGATCAGGGGTAAATCAAGAAGAATGGAGTGAGGTGTGGATGCCTGCAACAGTCGCAGCCATGCGTAATGCACTCCGACGTAGTTCTGTTTGTGCGTCTCTGTTTTGTACTCATAAAATTTTATGGGCCTCATGAAGCAAACAGCGGGAGGCGGTCTTGTTCTTGGTAAAAGTGGGCGAACGGTTGATTAAAGTGCTGATGAGGGGCTGGAAAACTACGCCTTGTGTTGCATTCAAATGACCAAGGATACGCAGTACATTGCTTCACTCAAGAACTTCCTTTGGTTTCATTTGATTTATATTTAAAAAGGGATCATATATACACGAATTTAAATTTAAGATTTTTAAAATGCTGGTTTTGTATAAGACTGAAAATGTATAATGTTTAATATTTATTTGTTACTTATTATTGACCAAGTTTTAAACTTTAATTATTGAAATTATTTATTATTTGCCACTGGCAATTATTAAAAGTTCGTATGATCAACGGTTCTTTAAATAGCATTGCTGATCTGTTGCCAACCAGTTCGTTGTTTTGGATGACTATTGACTAAAGTACTCGTCAACATCCGTTGGATAACCAACCACGGCTAATCAAATCTGATCTGAAATTGCAGAAATGCTTTAGCCAAAAATAAACGGCCAGCGAACCACTTCTGACAACGGGTCATCATCAATTATGCGATCGGCTCGGTTAACTGAAGTGCGACAGCGTATATCTCTGGGGTGTATAAATAAAAACTGCCCGCCGACAAGACGCTGGCGTTTTCGCCCGGCCACTTAATCAAAAGTCCGGAGACATGAGCAAACATTTGGCTCGCTCTCTCCGCCGGTATGATAACCGCAATTAACGGCATTACACGGCAGGTGAGGGAAAAGCCACCCACTTACAGGCGATTTTGGCCAGCGGCGATAAGGCCAGGAGCCACCCAACAATAATTGGCCGAACAAGCTGTCATGAGTGGGAAAGAATTAAAAGCCGCTCGCAATTAAAATAAATAAGTTAGTAATAGATATTACGTAGAACGAAGCGCTCCCCGAAGAGCACGAACCCGAACCCAAAAAAGCCATCCGACATCCGATATTCCGCTACTGGCGTACTGGACAGGCGTTTTCGCCAACTTGGTGCCAAAAAGTAAAATAGTTGATCGAGAAAGGGCCAAGCGGATGGCCGTGAAAACGCAGCGCGCGAAAAAGAAAATATAAACTCGTCGCGAAATCGTCGCGAAATCGTCGCGCTCCTGGAAACTTACTAATTGAGTCCCGTGATTCAGAAAGAACTAGTTGCAAAATATGACTAACCGGAGAATGGATATACTTCAAGTTGTTACTATCTTTAGCTGCTTGGGACTATCAAATGCATACGGAGTCCATTTGAGCGATCTTCAGCAGAATTTGGGTATGTGGGCAGGTTTTTCTTCACTTTTTCTTACGCTTATCCTATTATTATATAGCCAACTTTTTTTTTAGAGCTAAACTATAATAATGGAAAAGTTAGGAAAAATAAAGGACGAAGAAGGTAGAATGAAATATTTACAAAAAAAATCATCAAAAAATATTTAATATAATAATAATTAATTCAAGTTCAAAGACTTTGATTCTATTTCTCATCATTTAAAACGACTTATCTTATATAGATATTTAAGCTAAAAAATTGTTTTAGAAATTATTGAACATATTTTTATTTCGCTAAATTAAAAAGAAAACCCCTTTTTTACCAGTCTTATCACACATTACCAATTTTATCATTTAGTACCCAATTTCAAATCATGTGACAAATTTGTACTTCCTCAAAAGTGGGCAATAAATTAATTTCACAATTTTTATGTCCATTCGGAATTGTTTAGACCAAAAAATTTTTTTAAAGAGAATTTTTAAGAGAATCTTTTTCTGGCAGGATTTTTACAACATAGATTTTTGATTCTGTTGTACTTTAATTCGCTTTATCGCAATTAGACAATATTTATTTTTAGTTCGTCTAGATTATTGTGAATACTAGTAAAAATTATCTGCACTTAAAAAACGGATCAATCAATAGCGTGACAAAAGCTCGTGCTCCCTGCTAAAAGTATTCTGATTTCACAATCTTGCATCCTTACTGGAGGTTTTAGGATATTCATTAGACAATTGAGCTTCAAAAAAAGCATACATTTAATAAGCAAATTCGCAAAATGACTAAAGGTTTACGTTTTTTTTACTTATTATTTTAACTTAAAAATTTGTTTTTATTTTTTTTATCTACAGCTGCCAATGGTTCTGTTATGGTGGCCCCGTTAAACAGCTCGGATGCTTACAGTGTCTCCATAAACCTATCGCAATCGACCGTTAACAATTGTCCTTCGCTGGAAAACGCAGGATCGATGGCACAAATGGAGTTCCTGACACGACTAACTGCCGGTTGTCGCTTCGACAAGATGGTTCCACCCACTGTCTATAATAAAGACGGTGAGGAGGTGCCCTTGGGCCTCTATGCGCGATTCTACATTTACGTGATAAAGAACCTGGACTCGAGTGATCTGCAGTTTATGGTGCAGGGTCTTTTGCAGTTGCGATATGAAGATCCCCGACTGGCCTTCTCTAAATATCTTCCCAATCAAAGGCAGCCGATGATGGGTGAATCAGAACTAAAGAAAATGCTCTGGGTGCCACATATTTTCATGAGCAATGAGGAGGCCTCTAGCGTCCTAGGAACCAGCGCCAAGGACGAACTCACCTCCATTTATCCAAATGGAACGGTTTTGATTTCTACAAGACTGCAGGCCACTCTTTACTGCTGGATGAACTTCCAGAAGTTTCCATTTGATGAGCAAAAGTGCACTACAATCCTGGAGAGCTGGATGTACAACACTTCGCTGGTGGAACTTCACTGGGAGACCGTTAGGCCCGTGAGTTTCGACAAACAACTGCAGCTGACGGAATACAACCTTATTGGTTCCCTGTACAACGAATCCATCACGGTGTCCAATGGTTCTTCTATGACGCATGGCGCCTTGGAGGGTAACTACAGCAAGATCAGCTTTACTGTTTTGCTTACACGAGAAGTGGGCTACTATGTGATTGACTACTTCTTGCCCTCGATCATGATTGTGACCATTTCGTGGGTTTCTTTCTGGCTGCAGGCTGATCAAACTCCCGCGAGGACTACTCTGGGCTGCACCACCTTGCTGTCCTTTATCACACTCTCCCTGTCGCAGGAGAACGATCTCATGAAGGTGAGCTATGTTACCATGTCCGAGGTGTGGTTTCTGGTATGCACCATCTTCATCTTTGGCAGCCTGGTGGAGTTTGCCTTTGTAAATACCATTTGGCGAAGGAACAACGATCTGCAGCTCAAGAAACGCACCACCAAATACATTGTCAAGTCCACTTTTGTCCCGAAACGACATCGGCGACATGGTTACAGGAGGACCGATAGCACCCTGAGTACCATGAGCACCACCAGCATGGACAAGTCCTGCGGTCGCGACAACACTGTGATCACCATAGAGACCCCCATAATCATAGGAGGCAGTCTCAGTCGGGAGGATTCAGCTATAAGCTTGGATGAGCAAGATGAGACCTCTACTTCGTCGTCCAGCGATTCTTCAAAGGAAAAACCAGCCCAGACTTTTGCCACAATGACGCCCAAGGAGGTGTCGCTGTGGATCGACCGAAAGATGCGGTTCGTCTTCCCTCTGGCTTTTATCGTTTTCAACGCCCTGTTTTGGACCCTGGTCTACTGCCTGTGAGGTGTTTATCAGAGGAAGAGAGTTATTCTGTGATCCTGGAGCATCCTCACCAGTTGCCTCATTAGACTTAGTCCCTTACCCCTAGATGCATTTACATATTTTAAGTATACTTTGGACTTACTTTGTCGAATTGACGACGGCAACTTAATATTAGTAATTTTTTAAAACAAATTGTGTAGCAGTAAGATATCAAAAATAACAAAAACATGAAAATCTGAAAAGGCACATTATTCTCTAAATTGTATCACGAGTAAATTGGCACTGTCGAATCGACAAAGTGAGTCCAGTCTAGGGTTAAGGCCTGTTTGCACAATCTGAGTTCCACTCTGAGTTATTTGGTGTAAACGCGGGTCTAAAGTATTAAACTGAGATTTCAGATATAAACTCCGAACATATAAACCCTGTTATTTTTACTTTAAAGTACCAAAAACTTGGAGAAGAAATCAGTTTGCGTAAAGAGGCCTTTAGTATGTAATCCCGACAGGTGCTGGAGTTTTCCCAGCCAGGGCGAACGTGTTATGTAGTCTGTATTTGTTTCTAATAAATTATATGTTTTGATACAACACCTCCCCCGACTTGAGCACGTACAGATCTGATAAATATGTTCCTATTAGCAGCGGGCAGGGCCATAAAACTCGGCCGAAGATGGGGCAGTCAGGAGCGAGCAACCCGCTATATTTGTATCAATGAAAAAATCATAATGCCAGCACGCCCCATTGCAGTCAGCTCGATGCTTTATTAATTGCCCATGATGATGGGACTGTTGAAAAGTCTAGCGGTTGGTTGTTCGTCCAGAGAATCCACAGAATTTCAAGCGACCGTCTGCTCTTGATAAATTAACGGCTCATGCAACACGTAAATTGATTTTAAATTGCCTTATAAATGAACTCCAATTCGCTGGGCAATAAACAATGTGTTATTGCGATCTCCGGCTAGATGCCAAATAATTTCGCTTGCTCGTCGGTGAAAATGAGAATTAATTTCCAGTGTCCATAACTTAGATCGATCCGAGGTAGGAGCGCATTACTATGCAAACCCCAATCTGACCATCAATCTCAGCTTCTTTCCGTTCCCGAACTGGTTTTTACCAACTCCGCCGCGAGGTGTACATAATGAGATGTAATCTGTCAAAATTAAGTGTATCGCTGGACCACTGGCCGTTCCAAAGCCTCCTGCCTTTTCCCTTTTTTTTTGGGAAGGTGGTTGCAAGTTAAAAATTTCGTTTCGCCACAGCCTGAAACTTTTGAGGCTCAACAAGTTTATTGAACTCGCAGCGAGGGCCGTTTGGTAGGTTCCGAGCACCGGATGTTCCCATGTCATTCGGTAAGCCCCACCATATGATAGATGCCCCGCACAGCTGTTTACTTATCAATCGGCTCCCGTTTAGGTGAGGCTAGAAAAACCCAAACAGGGCCCAACTCCCTCAACAGCACTTTTCTTTATCGATCGGGCGCATATTGGGTCAGCGGCAGCCCGGAGTTCATTTACACGCCGCTTATTTGTTTAGCTTAACTTCCGATTCCCCAGACTGAGAAATAAAGTGAATCCGAAAGAGCGCGGGAACTACTGGAAAACGCTACTGGGCCTTCTTCGCAAATGAGCTGCATAATAAGCGAGCACTTGCTTCAGTCCATTTGTTTTCCCCCTTTTTTTTTGTTTTTGTTTCCTTGGGCCTTTCCTTTTTGCACATGAGAATTACAGACATTTTCATTTATTATTATGAGGTCCGGCCGTATAATTTGCAGTCACTTGCGACCGCTCGCGGCTCCCACACGTCGTCCCCGCGTTTCTCAACCATGAAGATATAATGTAAATGCCACCGACTCCAGACTCAACCGCAAGCGGGGAAAACTATATATAAATGGGTAAATTAATAAACAAACGAACAAAAGAACCTGCACGAAAGGCACAATTATTGTAATGCGTTATTTAGACTTTGAGCGAGGATTTCCCAGCATACAACGGGGTTCATTAGCGATAGGAAAATCCAGAAGTGAATTGAAGACAAGCATACAACTATGTATTAAATAATAAGGACCACAAACGATATGTAAATAATATGTTAACGAAATATTGAATTGCAAACAATTTCATGGCATTTCAGCATCTAATAACTTTAATCTTAAAAAAAGTTAAAAATAGTTATTTAATTCTATGAGGTTTTATAAACCTATCTATCTTCATTATTTAGTAAACAAATTATACAAACATTTATTAAACTCTTATTTTCAATGATATATTTATATAATCGTGTATACTTATATGTATAATTACCTTTGAAGAATCTTAGCTACTTTGACGGAAGATATATGTATGTATCTAACTACCTCATGAATAAACGACAAATATCCCATTATTCTTACACCTTCATCTTTAAGAACTAGTTTTTTTCGGAGAGCATTTTGTAGTCGTGGTCCAGATGCAACCCCCATGTAAACACTCATTGCATTAGTTGGTTTATTTTTAGATGGTGGGAAAAATTCTATTTCGAACCGCATTTGGAGCGCCCAACTCAGATCTCGCCTATCTGAACCCAAGAATCAGAAACAGAAACAGAAACGTCGACCGCGAGACAAGGGGAGCAGTCTTATTGTTGTTAGTTTTGGTTAGCCAATTTCTGTGTAGTGTTTGAAGCCTGTCTTTCGTCTAGATGTCTGGGGTTTTGGGGTTTGGTAAGGGGTTCCATTTCCAGTCGAGTCACGCTCGGTGGGCGCTGGTTCAGAAGTCAAGTACGAGCCATTGCCGACCACTTGGTCAAAGCGTGCGAATGAGCCCAAGCCCAAGAGACCCGAGACCCGAGACCCGAGACTTAGCAATCGATTTTATGACTAATAGATGCCTTAAATAACTGGCCAATACCGGCTAATTTGGCCAAAGCCGTGTGCAAATTTAATGCACATCATGGCTGGGGCATTAGCATAATCGTTTCGCCCAGCGGATTAAGTTGCCAGTCTGGACAAACCGCATGGCTAATGAGAATGCAGCAACTTCGTGCCCGCATCCAGTCCCCAGATTCAGATTCAAATTCAGGCCCACATCCATGTCTTAGGTATTTACATGCAGCATGCCACAACCTATTAACAAATTGCAAACAAAACTGGCGACCGCACAGTAGCCGCCCATTCTAGAGGACTGCATCGCGACTCCTGGAGAAGTGGGCGTGCATTCTAAATTATGGTGCTAATAAGGAGCTGCCTTTGCGGCTAATTTAATGGAATGCAAACGCACTGCGTTGATGCATTTTCCCCGAGGCCTTCGAAGATTCCAGCTGGCTTCGCTGCCTTGACCCACGGTGATCTCTGGTGGACTATGACGATGGCGCCGGGCGATTAGGCGCATGCAACCGCTGGAACTAACACAGCACTATTAAAACAGAACAACTTGGTGGTTCACCGGTGGCGCCTGTGCACCACCACACAGCACAGATTTAAATCATTCACTTGGCTTGAGCCTTGAATCGCCCAAAGACCTTAAAACGTTTTGCACGTTTTTCCAATGAAGCCGCAAAACGGGGCGCCCCTCCTGCGGCCATAATTAATGAAAATTGCAAGGCACTCGGAAAAACCTTATGAAGAAAACTAAACGTATTACTTAGAAAACAGAAACCAAATTCACCCCTTTATTTTTCAATCATAAAATGTCTATAATGTAAAACCATAATATTATACTATTTGATTAGGTGATATGGTAAGTAGGAAGAATCCTGAAACATTTTTCTAGTGCTACCAAACTATATAATATTTTATTCATAAAATTAAAATTGTTTTTAACCCAGAAATTTCTTGCCATATGAATGCAACTGGTTTTTCCCATATTTACCACGCCCAGAGACTATTACGATCGATCGCCTGACTGGCCATTTCTTTTGGCAAATGCCTTTTGCAGGTAGCCATGTGACGACCCCAGTTTTTGCCTCCCCTTAGGGCAGCGGTTATTAATTAGTATCTGCTTATCACTGGCTAACTCGACTCGAACATTTGTCATAGATATGTGTACCAAACAAAGGTATATGTGTTTTTATGGCGCGGGAGTGCCCCACGAAAATGGAGTCGACGACGTTAACGCGGCCTGATCTTATCGAGAAATGTTTTGCTCGCTGTGTGACACTATCTTAAATGGAACTGAGTCGGCCGAGTTGCGGGTTAGCCGACTTTGGCCTGGATGATATGGTGCCGCGCATCCGCAATTTATGGCCCACTTGCTGGAGGCAACAGAATTCATCCTAGACCTTAGCCATTCTAATTCAAGGTTGGTTTTAATTAAACGATATCGAATCGATAGTGTAAGTAAGGTAGATTCTCAGCCCGGCGCCACCAAAGTTGCAGCCGCAGTTCTCTTTTAGCCACTGTCTTGGCCACATTGTCAAAAGGTAATCAAGAAAGGCATCAACCTGTCGCGGCTATCGCGCCAAATGCGCTAAGCAGCCTCCGAAAACTGGCGCAGAGACAAACAAGCATGACTGGGACTGTCTGGGCTGTAAATCATGTACAGCTTCTCCGAAAGTCACGCCTCCGAAAGTCACGCCTATGATGACTAAGAGTTTTAGGGGTAAGATATAGCTTTGTAGTAAATATATCTCCAAGCAAAACACCCAAGTAAATACAGCATTTTAGCTCAATAAATCCTGAAAGCAACTTCTAAACAAATTCTAATCTTCTCTTTAAAAAATACGCAATGCGTTTAACGCATTTGAGCGAATTATAAATTATACAAATAATAAACTCTAAAGTACAAGTCATCACCCTAATGTCTGCAACGATGACTTCATAAAACCGCAATAATTTATTAATAAATAAAAAAGCATTATTATAAAGGGCTTAATAAATTCCCTTTTTTTGAGCTGGAAATTTACCAAATGTTGTTGCACACATGTTCAATGCGAACTTAATAATAATCTAGTAGATTCTTCTGAAATTATTTATGAAGCTTTGTATTTATAATATGCTTCTCCTAAAAGGATTTCCATTTAATTTGTGACTCATTCGTGAATGATTCAGACTCTCCGGCAAGCCTGGTCGCAGATAAAGCTTCTGTGAGTTTTGGGGCTGCTTTCAGCTCGCTTCGTTTGCGGCAAACGAGGCTGGCAGAAAACAAACTTCTGCAGCTTGCAACTTGGCCATTACTTCCACCAAAAGATATTCAACATCAGCGCTCCAGCACACACGCGCTCACAAAAGCCAAGTACGCGGGCCAAAAAGCAACATGGAAAAAAATTAGTTAAAAGATAAACATGGCAAAGCCAAAGTGCAGGGCCATGGGCAAGGGCATTTTAGGGGGGAAACACTGTAGTCTGTCGTGCTGCTTTTGGCTTTGTCTTGATTATGTGGGTTCAGCAAGAGTAGCGGGAGCTGCAGCCAAAATAAGATACTTGCATACACATTCTAGGCAACTTTGTTGCCGCATCTAGTTAGCCAAGCTCGAAAAGAGAAGTATCTCGTAGCTTCACAATGGCTGGGCCAAAATAATTGCTAAAAAGGCGCATTTTAAATATGGCCAAATAACAAAGCGAACG